ACAGGGAAATCATGCTCAAAGTGTCACTCAGATTTGCCATGGCTAGATTTCAGAAAGGGAAAAATAACTCAATCCCCAGTATCTGATTCGTTTTCTTTCAAGAGAGAGCTTTTAATGATTAATTTACATCCCAATTAATGATTCATTGAAACCCAAGTCCGCCATCACCTGTGTTGCCCTCAGCTCTGAGAGTTTTGTGCCCCATTGCTTTAACTGTCTTACTTCTGTTGTTTTTTGTGGTTTTCCTTTAGTGTCCTCCAAGTTATTTTGACACTCAAAGGCTGCACTGAAAGGTCAAGAGCGTGTTACTGTAGTTCCCTGTGCCGCTTTGCATGCTGGGACCAAAGTAAACAACTACAAACAAGTGAGCCACTACTGCTTCCTGTCCTGCTCCCTCCACAAACCTAGAGCACAAACTACTTAAAAAAACTTTTCCACCTGTCTCTCTAAGAAGGGAAAAGTCTGTATAAATCTGGGAGTCATTCTATTAGTTAGACTCAGATGGTCTGACGTGTAGCGCTTTGGCTGAAACTGGCTAGACTGTGGAACCCCAGGTTTGAGGTAACTCATTTTCTGCTCCTCTGCAATATACATTGGACATTTTCATTGGTTTAATTAAAAGTGTCCTTTCTGTAGACCCTTTAGTTGTGAGAGAAGGGAACTGATATTCAGAAGAAGTAAGAAAAATGGGAATAGAAAGCTGCCTTTTAGAAATTTTTGTATTTGTATTCTGTCGCCATTCCACAACAGTGGAAAAGACAAAAGGAAGGGCTTTGCATTTTGTCTCTGGAAATAAATATGCATTGCAAATACTTTGCGACCTCAATGCAGAACAAGGTAGAAGAATGGAAAAGAAAAAATAATGACCCACATTTTGATCCAGATTTTGCACTTTTTTTTTTCTCCTGGGCAGACTGCTTTCTTGGAATAATGTATTCATGCCCCAAAACAGGCTTATTCAGATTGATGCCCATGTGTAGGGGATAGAAGAAAATCCTAAGTAGGACATGAATGTTTGGCTTCCTTGCAGCCAAATTGTTATTACAAACTGACTCAATGAATTTCCCATCAGTGTACAATGGTTAGTCAACTAGCAAAGTACAAACATTTATGTAAGATTCCTTTAGTTATTACAGCCCAAATGCTGTATTGTTGGTTATAATTGCTTTGTATTTTTTAAATTATAGTATACCCACCTGTTTTGGAATCTTGGCTGGCAGCTGCACACAGAGAGCAAGGACACACAGACATGCTCTTCTGGCCTGCCCACCTGTCATTCAGAGTCATTCAGCAGGCCCAGGGTGGCCATGTGCCAGTCGCAGAAGCAGCACTCCCCTTGCTAGGCGTCACTGCAAGCCAGCAGGTGTCTAGAAAGTCACAGGGGTCACTGTTCCTCCAAGAACTGAGGGAGTCCTGGGGAGAGAGTGATGACTACTCATCTCCACCGTGTTCCCAGATGCACTGGACGCTAACCCTTGGGAAATTCTGGCCAAGCATTGATATAACCTGCTCTTGGTAACAGTTTTGAAGGATCAATGAATATACAAATGCATTGGCTTACAGTCATGCATACTGTCCACTGGCTTTACTTCACTGACCACACAGACCAGGGCAGTAGTTTTAATCTTAAATAAAGTAGTATAAATGAACTCATTGCATGTTTCAGGCGAATATTGAAGTCTGTGCACTTTCTGTGTAGATTAATTTATAATAATTATTATTAATTCGAATTATTGTTTTAATCATGCTAGTCATTACTTTGGCTGTATTGTATATTAGAATTTCAAGCTTCAAGTGAAATATACAAATCGTATATGTAATTATATACAGATAGCTGCTTTATCAAGTTTGGCATAATCTTGTTAAATTTCTGAATCTGCGCCAGGCTGGAGGACAGGGATCAGTACAGGGATGAGAGATCTTCAAGGAAATCCTGGCTGCTGCTCTTAGTGATTTTGGTAGACCAGTAAGTGGTGCCCTTCCTTCTGAATCAGGATTTTTGGTCCAATGTTCCAGTAGAGTTACTAGGAACACTGTTCCATTGGATTCTGCTCCACTGTTCTATACCCTGTTCTTTGGGTGAGATGTTAAAGAGCTGTGTCACTGTTCATAATAGCAGTAGTGGGTGTCAATCCTGGAAGGAGTGGAAGGACATTCCACTCCTTCAGTCTGGCCTCCCTAACTGTCCTGGGCTGCTGCAGTATAACGACTGCCACACGTTACTCAGCTGGGGCTGCACTTCACTGGAGGATGGAGTGGGTCTCTGCTCTACAGTAAGAGGAAAGTGCCTTGGCTTGCCTTGGGATGGCTTAGACTACATAAAAGCAGTTATTTATAACTCTAAAAACATCCCATCTTTCAGAAAACAAATGTGAACACAAGCTTTTTCTGGCATCTTTAAAAAGGTTACTTAGAGTGCTTATGCTGTGTTTTTCACTGAATTACTAGAGAGCCACTTTCAAGAGAGCAGACAATTCTGCTATACTTACCCTCCAGGCTCCCAGGCTGCCATGGGACAATTTCCTTTAACCCAGGTTCCAAGAGGCTGACCTCCCATCCCAAAGTGGGCTCACTGCCAGACAAGCACAAATTTGCAGCATGAAAAGTGCCAGTAAACTCTGAAAAGTGCATTAACTTTCTTAAAGCCTTCTTAAAGCCAGCAGCGACATCACCCTGCAACTCACAACTGACAACCCACTGAAGATACGCAGATGTGAGTCTGGTCAGTACCTTGTTGGGAGACCTCATGGGAAAAACTAAGGTTGCTGCTGGAAGAGGTGTTATTGGGACCAGCAGGGGGGTGCTCATCCTGCGGTCTGTGTGTGTCCTTATGCCCCAATATAGTGATGGGGACATTTCGTTGTAAAAATAGCATTGTCCCTCAGATGAGATGTAAAACAGAGGTCCTGACTCTAGATGGGTGACTCATTGGTGGTGGTGGAGGGGAGTACCAATGACCTGTAAGGTGCTTTGAGTAGCGTGTCCAGAAAAGTGCTGTATGAGTCTAAGGAATTACTGCTGTTATTATAAGCTTTCTTCTCCCTGCCCGTGCTGGATAGGGGAAGTAGCAACCCCTAATTAACTGACTGATTAACAGTCTAATTAAAGGTTAGCAATTCCAGACTGGAATGGTATAAAGAGCAAAGAAAAATGGTTAATTCATGACAGAGTCTGAAGTAAAAAAGTAAGACAAGGACTTTGCAGACACTCTGCAGAGCACAGCAGTGACAATCCCTGGGCCTGCTCATGTCACTGAACCTGTGTTATTCCACATCAAAACCACAGCAGTGTTGCGACACTTGTGGCATTATGACACACAGTTCAGAATTAACTGGACAAAGGCCTTAGAAGTCTGCAAATTAAACCTTGTTAGTACACATTTCCTTAATGAGTATGTGCCTGTGCATCAACCATAAAGCTAAGTCCTGGTCTCCAGAACACTTCCTCCTAAGAAAAAATTAGAATAATTCAGTAGAAATAACATGTTTTGGGTCATTTCCAGGACCAGAAAATTCTGGATTTTTTTACAACTACCACCAAAATGAAGTTTAACACACAAATCTTGATAGGAAACCCCAATGTTCATCTTATTCCATGTCCTCTTCCGACCTAACATTAACAGTGATGCTGAAAAACTCTGATATAATGAGAATTCAGCATGGACAGGATATTGTTATTCCATCTGCCTTTTTACCTTTTATTTTAAAGCATTTTGCAGAGATCAAAATTACAAAAGGGAGCATAGGAGAAGCACTGCAGGAGAGTTAAATCAAGTCAACATTAATTTCCAAAAATTAAAAAGGCTCCATAAAAAGGTATTTATGTATTGCAGGAGTCTGAGCCTGCAGGGTTCACAGGGATAAAGGCAAGACAGCTGAGTGAGGGAAAGCCCCATGTTTGGGGGTATTTGAATGATATTTGATAATCCTCACATTTTTAAGATTTGATGTTGGAGTTTACAAGAAATCAAAGGACAATTTTAATATAAAATAACTTCCAACGCATAGAAAAGAGCATTTGGAATGCTGGCATCAATACATTGTCCATTCAGACCTGTCCTATTCTGCGTCAGCCTGTGGAGGCTGCAAAGGAACAAGTAAAGGTTTATTCCATGCTGAAAAGAGAAGAAAAGAAACACAACATTTCGTCTGTGGAGCCTTCGTCGGGTGAAACGTTGTGTCTCTTTTCTTCTCTTTTCAGCATGGAATAGACCTTTACTTGTTCCTCTGTCCTAGTCAATAATACTGAGCTCTGCGCCTTCTAATCACAATTCATCTGATTCTATCTGTGGTCGTATATGACTGTTAATTAACTTGAACAAATATCATCAAAATGTTAGAAAGCAGAACTGCCTAAAGAGACGTCTAATTCTGCATTGCAATTTAGTGCAGATGAGTAACCACGAACAACTGTCATTGTGATGTAGTCAGTGCTCATTAATATTTGCATATATAATATTGAATCCCATAATTCATAGTGACTTCTGCTAGCTCTTAAAACACTAGAACCCTGAAGGGTATTTATTATACCTATTAATTCTGGGTATGGATATTAATTAGCTCTCCTTCTAAACACAATATTGGAGGATACAGAAGTGTAGCATGTGTAGGATACTCCAATACCATTTTTCTTATGCACGCAGAAGGAAGTAGATAAAAATGACAAATTGTGAATTTTCATCCTCATTTTATAACCACAGCAAAACAGTCACAAACAATAGAGTGGAATTAAAACTATAAACACTTTACAGACCCTTAGATGTGGAGGATATTATTCTATAACTAGGAGAACCAGTTTTAAAATCTGCCCGACAGTTTGCAATATATTATACTTCATACTGCCTTACTAAAATCATAGTATAAGGCCCCTAAACTAAAGGTTCTGCAATAATACCATGTGATGCTATTATAATGTTTGTGAGGCAGAGAGAGAGAGAGCAGAGCTCTGTGGTATCAACCAGAGGGGTCTTGTGAAGTGTGGCTCCCACACACCGTCCAACAGGGAGAGAGAGAGGGGGAAGAGAGTGAGAGAGAGACTGAGACACTGGGCTCACAGGAAACATTAGCACACTTGTTCTGTTAAAGGTGTGGAGTAATCAAGCTAAATTCAGCGGCAAGGGTTTATATGTGGAAAAAGGATTCTTGCTAAGGAGTTCTGGGCTTGTCGAAAACTCAATCATATACGGTAAGAATCTGTGTCTTTCAGACTGTATTTTATTAAATTCCTTAGCAGGTCATTTGCTATTAGTATTCAGGATTTGGTAGAAAATGGGCCATTTATTTTTATTTCTCAGTTACATACTGCATGTCTTGTGAAAGTGCTGTCTCTTCATTTTTGTGTAAGTAGTTTTTTGTCTGCAACATTCATTTTAGGAATTGCTTTGAATTGTAATTTTTTTTAGCATTTTTAAATGTATGTATAAAGAATTGCTGAATATAAAAGACTCCCGGATTGTCACGTAGCCCCAGAATTATTAAGAATTGAATGTAGATTTCCTATAAGCATAAAGGACCAACACAGTTTCTACTAACATCTTATAGAAGGCATTGATGAGAACACTCTGCTCTGAGAGAATGTTCATGTTTTTATAGTACATAAACAATACAAAAGTATAGAAAAGAGCCCTGAGTATACCACACAGTCAAAGCTGAAGTCTTCCACTGAATGTGATAGTTGTCTTTGCATAATCAGACTTTGGGAAATGTGCAAAGTAAAGTAAAGAAGGTAAAACATGAGAACAGATGATGTTCTAGACCATTTTTTTCATATGTTTACAATTTCTAATCAGGAATAAGTAGCCTCTAATTTAAACAAATTTCAATTATCATCGAAGGCACTGCTTCTTTACTGCTGAAAGAAAATGATCAGGCAACATGTAAAGTGAATTTATGGATTATATGTCATGTCAGCTCAATTGTCAGGACAGATTTTTAACAAGTACATTCTTGTGCTGCTTCACAAGTTTGGATGCCATTGTAGCAGACAAATTGGTTGTTGCCTGAGCTACGTCTGCACCAGATGAAGGTCTGACCTTCAGGTCTCCTGCATGTCTTGGCCACCGTTCTGAGGAGGCAGGCAGCTCCTGGAGACAAAGGGCATCATTCTGGAACCTGGCAGCACAATTACACAGTGCAGTTCCAGCTGGGACACATCTTACAGTCCAGATCTCAGATGGTCTTGTTAGCACATGGCAGACCTCATGAAGGAGGCTCTCCGATGGTCTGAGCTGGTTTGACCAAAGTCTGAGCTGAAGGGAGACACAGGTCTGAGCTGCAGGGAGACACTGGGGTCTGAGCTGCAGGGAGACACTGAGGTCTGAGCTTCAGGAAGACACCGGGGTCTGAGCTACAGGGAGACACAGAGGTCTGTGCTACAGGGAGACACTGGGGCCTGAGCTGCAGGGAGACACTGGGGCCTGAGCTGCAAGGAGACACCGGGGTCTGAGCTACAGGGAGACACCGGGGTCTGAGCTGCAGGGAGACACCAAGGGGTCTGAGCTACAGGGAGACACAGAGGTCTGAGCTGCAGGGAGACACTGGCATCTGAGCTGCAGGGAGACACTGAGGTCTGAGCTGCAGGGAGACACCAGGGTCTGAGCTGCAGACACTCTTCTTGGTTTCCTTTCTTATACTTTGCCATTTCAAAACAATCTCTCCTCCTACTACTCTTTCTGGGGCCACCAGACTACCCCCCTTTTTCCTTTTTCACCAGCACTTTGCTTTCAACTCAAAATAACTTGTTCACTGACGCATGTCTCCCCACTGGTCTGTAATGGCAGGTCCTCTTCAATATTTCAGAAGAAGGGATGTTGTTGTTCAAGACTCAAAACGTCTTTAATGCTTCAGAGTTCAGTCTGTCAGGAGAGAGACTTAAATGAACCAGTTTTTATTAAATAAAAGCAGTGTTTAGAACTGAGCTCTGAGCTCTGAGCTCCCGCTGGTATCTACATGTCCAAGTATATTTCATTCATGCTACAGAAACAAAAGCAGTGAACCTAGATTAACAGTAGAATATTTACTTTTATTTTTAGGATTGCATCTAATTTAGCAAAAGACATGACAGACATAGCAGGGCCTCCTGGTTTCAGTGTCTCTACTTAAATCTAGAAAACATGCATGAACAGACCACAGATCTGTGATGAAGGATGATCTCTATGAAACCACACGGTTCTTTTGGTTTTCATTGTGTCACAGACTTTCACAGACTGAGAAAGGAATCTAATATTTTTTTCTTTAATGTCTTTCAGAAAGGAAAATGTGCAAAAACAGTTGCAGAATTTCAGAAAATTATAACTGGTTATAATAATAATGTTAAAAACTGTCAAGACCTTCCCACTTCCTCCAGCAAAGGGCTGTCGTCCATGTTTCTGTTAGTAACCAGTATGTTCTTCCTTCCTTGAGTATAAATCTGTCTAAAAACAAGATGATAGATAAAGTGTGAAGTAAAGGGAAATGATACATGAAAAATTATGATGTAAATTAAAGTTAACAAAGATCATTTCAAAAAGATAAAGTTCAAATCTTGAATTGAGAACTTCAAAACATGAGAAGAATCTTGTTTTAGAACTGGTTTTAAAATAATTTCACACACTTAAGACAACAATTATGTCAAGCTAACTGTTCAAGTCAAGATAACTGGGAATGATTTACTGACATTGTTTTTTCAATACATCAAATCACTTTTATCTCATATTCTCTTCACAGGATCTTACAATGAGCTCTAGTTCTTTAAGATACCTCAGACACATTGTATTGTAGAGTATGTTAAATGTTGAGTCATGGTGGTTTTTACATAGCACTCCTCAGCCCAGGGTACAGCATTGCACAAGTTACAAGCCTACAACACAATGTGTTGCAGCTACAGTATATACAAATAAATCAACAGTGATTAAAAGGACCATTCAAATAAGAAAAAATCAAATTGGGCTTAAAATAATTCAGTAAGGTTCAGCCTGCCTAATGGAACTGATTAATCATTTATATTTCTATATTGCATTTCAATTCTATGGACATGTAGTACAGGAGGGGAACCACAACTTACCCTCTAAAGTGTCACACCCACTGAAGTTCCACACCCACTGGAGGGATCTGAGTGATATCAGTCATTTGCACTGCACAGCCACTAAAATTACTTCCCCAGCTGAAAAAAGAGGGACCAGTAGTTAGATCAGACTGAACCAGAACAGAGTGAAATGTATCCAGGACTCTGAGAATAACACCTCTAGTGTTATAGTGCCCTAACAGTGACCTTTAATAAACAAGCGGTCAGGACCTTGGACTGAAGACCCATGTGGAAGGCTGCAGATCTCCTGTCACCATACTGATGCACTGATTTGGACAGCATGGTGCAGTAGTGGTGAACATGGCTGCTTTGCAGCACATCTCTGGGGTCCTGGGTTCAATTCCTGGGGTGCTGTAGCTTTAGAGGTTGTCTGTTCACATGGATTTCCTCCAGGTGCTCTGGTTTCCTTCCACAGTCCAAAGACATGCTAGTGGGCTAATTGGTTTTGTGGGAAAACTAGCCCTGGTGTCAGTGTGTGTATCTATGTCTGTGTGTTCCTTAGATAGGCTGGTGTCCTGCCTTGAATGTATCATCTCTTACATGTGTATAAATGTAAGGAGGTGGAATCACTATATGTTCACTGTCAAACCAAACTACATTTTGATTTCTCAAGTTCACTTTCAAAATCAGGAACATTCTGAGTTGTTAAATGAATGACTGTGACAGCTTACATAAGCCTGAACTCTGTCTGCAACTGGACATAAGATGAAAGCATTTTTTTAAATGAAAGCTTGAACCTTTTTAATGAGCTCAAATACTTTAATGGAAAGGTGTTTAAAAATCACAGTGTGATTCTGAGTCAGACAGAAATGAAAGAGTTGGGGTCAGGCTGTGCTCAGAGAGGACATTAAATGGAAATGAGTTAAGGTCTGTTAGACCTCAGCCTGAGATACGCTTCTCCTCTCTCGGCTGGAGCTGAAGCAGATGAAGAATATATGCAGTCCAGCTCCGTCTTGAATCACACTGTGAAGCTTAATATCACCATCTATGAGAATGAGAAACTGAGTCCCTTTGCGAGAAAAGGTGGTACTTGTCTGATGTTAAGAAATAGTTTAGAGAGCTTAATAAGGATAAAGGAAACATCCACAACCGTATCTGAACTTAAAGTTATGGATATAATTCAGTGCACTATGTGAAAAAGTTGAGAAGTGAACACAATGCAATAAGTTGTACAGCACAACACAATAAAAACACCGAACACATTGTCAATAAATTGACAACAATACAATGTTCATCATGCATACTGACAATAAGAGTATAGCCTATTTTCTGCAATATTTTCTTTTTCATAGAAAGTTTGTGGCAGGAAAAATGTTGCAATACTCAGTTCTAATCCAGAAATACTATTCGGGACATTGCAAACACTTGACGTTTCAGCCAGACATCTAACATATATCTGCCATAAAATGCATTTGTCTGCAATTTATTCTGCACAAATGCAACTTTCTTCATTTTTTCAGTCTCATCCACTCTCATCCACAGTATACCAACATGTGACAGAAATGACAGCAGATTTAAGATTTCTCTCACCGCATCCTACCAAGCAGGAGGAAGTTAGACACACTGTACAAGAGCCAGAATATAATACTCAGTTGCAGAAATTGCTAAAAAAAACTTTCTATACCCAGAAAGAAACACAGCATTCAAAATGTTGTGTGTCCAATTCATCTAAATAAAATGGTCAGGATTACCTCCAACAGTATTTAAACAAATGTTATTAGTAAATATAGGTTTTGAACTCCCTAATTAAGGAGAATAGGGAAGAGGGATGCTGAAAGCAATTAAACAGATCCAAGTATAAGAATCTGCTGAGTGATTATAAGACGATTTGAAGCAGGAAAAGACCATTGGAGCCATTGAGCTCCCAATAGCTAATTGACCTAAGGATCTCAACCAGCCTTTTTTGAAAAAAAGCAAAAGAATCAGAATCAACAGCCTGGCTAGGTGGCTTCTTCCACTTTCCCACAACTCTTTGTGTACAGATGTTCCCCCTGTCCTCAGTCTGAGCTGCACAGCCCCTGAGCAATGTTCTTTAAAAAGTCGCTACAAACTCATGGGGGGTTTAGATCCGACAATCACGAACATATGCTTTGAAATCAGAAACTCAATTAAGATTTTGTTTCAGCAATCTGGAAGATGAAGGAGAATGTAACCGGCTGGCATTGCCTTTCAGCTGTTTGGTTTTTTTAGTTAGTAGCACAGTGACAGGCTGGCTGATGCAACCGTTTCTTCAGACAAAATGGAAGCTGGTCAAAGCCCTGCAAAAGAGATTGCGGAAGCCCCTGTCCACAGAGAGCTGTCTCCGGGGAAGAGTGGTTTATTCAGACAGGGTGTTACACCGCAGTTCTTCTGCTCCTAAGGCTCAGGAGTTTCACCATGTCATGGCGAGCACATTAAGCACAGCCCGGTGTGTTTAACTAAAACATAGTGGAACTGTGGATGGGGCCACAACTGTCAGGGGCTGCCTCATAAATACCCCACTCGTAGCCGACACACTGCCCAGAAAAAAACAACCACGTAGGATCCTGCTTACAGAGATTAGTGGGGCTAGAATTAGCATTTAACAGTGGGTGTTACACTGGTATTGTGGACAGCATGTTTTACTCCCTATTCAAAAAAATAGTTTTGTGCTGCTGACCACAACCAATACATCCTCCCTTGCAGGTGGCTGCTGTGCCTGTTGCCATTAACTGGCTTGTTAACTGTCAGCCCCTTATCTGGCCCGGCCTCACAGCTGTAGACGTAGTAGCCAATAATATCCTGAGCGTTCTTGGGTTCCTCCAAATGCAGCAACAGTGATAGGACTACTGCATCTCCCAAAAGTGATCACAAGGCAGGACTGACTGTTTCGCTGTAATGCTGGAGTTAACTTGTCCTGACTCAAGGATGTGTTACAGTTTTTGTCTTTGTCCTCATTTGATTTTAATCTCTCGAGAGAGAAGAGGCTCATAGGTAAGTGTTTCCACATCTTCACACTTCTCTTGTCTTACACCTCCTTATTGATATTTTACATCTGTGTAGATTTCTAAGTAAAATCATGCTGTGCAGAAGTGCAGAACGGTTTCATCACATTGAAGCAACTGTTCTGTTGAGCCCCATGTAAGAAAAATGCAAGATTACAAAAAAGCATGTATTAATTTGCAGTGCGAATTAAAAAAAAAATATCCTAGGAATCTAAAATTCTAAAAGAGGTTAAATATCACGCCTAGGCACATTGCATTCTTTATATTGCACAAAGAAAACCATGAACATCCAAGTCAATGTTGAATAGCGCCATCTTGTGGTCGTAATGTGTGACACACCTGCTGGAAATTGTAAACTTTTCTACAACGCAGCTAAGGTAGTTTAACATGACCCTCACTGGTGCTCAAACAGAAATCACACCTGACAGTTTTCATTTATTTTTGGGGAGGATGCGGGGGGGGGGGTTGGATTCCCAAGCCATGGTTTTACTCTGCTTGACAAGAGGGGCAATGTGCCCTCTCCAGCCATCTGTTTTCTAACTGCTTTATCCACCTCAGGCTCGCAGGGGAACCAGAGCCTATCCCCAATTGGCAATGGGCACAAGGCAGGGCCCACTGTGGAAAGGACACCAATTCACCACAGACACACTCCCACCAGGGCCAGTTTTGCCAGAAGCACCCCCCAGCATGTCTTTGGACCTTGGGAGGAAACCGGAGCACCCGGAAGAGACCAGCAAGAACACACGAACGCCACACAGCTAGCACCCCAGATCTGAAGCCAGTGTACTGCCAGGCAGCAATACTAACCACTGCACTGCCCGTGGATTTTCCTGTCGTGTAACAATTGGTAAATGAATGACCCGATTTTAGCCTGAGTAGAGGAACATTGGTGTTTTTGTCAAGTTCCACGATTATTTATTTAACAAAAAGATTAAAAAAAGATCATGTTCTCCACTCTGTTTTATATATACTATACACTCATGCAGGGACAAAATGTAATGCAGTTTTCATTAACACCTGTACTAATGTTTGTCTTCTAATACAAAAAGCAGACTGAATTAAATTCATAATACAATGAATAAACCCAGCTCTGTGATGCACTGGCGTCCCCTCCAGGATGTACCCTGCCTTGTGCCTGTTTCTTGCTCAGATAGACTCTGGCTCCCCTGCAACTCTGAATTGGACGAAGCAGTTAGAAAATGGATGGATGAGTAAATCCAAGCAGATCATTAGATGGGTTTCTTTTCTCTCCCTATGCAGGCTCAAGAGCTCCAAGAAGTCTGTCTTCTCACAATTGTTTCGTGATGGGTGGCGCCAGTCACCCAGATCTTCTGAAAGCTGTACGGGTTTGACTGGGCGTGTGGCTACGATGGAGGAGGTAGACAACTGCTCTACAGTGTGGAACAGCAACATCAGTGTCTGCTGTCCGTTTTACGTCAACAGTCCAGAGGATGGGCCATGCCCAGGGCTCCAGTGTTACATGGTCCTGGAGAAGAGGGAGAAGACCGTGATTAGTACCATCTGCTTCTTCGCTGGGCCTCTGACCTTCCTGGAGAATGTGCTGGTTCTCTGCCTCATCTTCTTCACCCCAGCGCTGCGGCGGAAGCCCTCCTACCTCTTCATCAGCAGCTTGGCACTGGCCGACGTCTTCGCCAGCTTGTTCTTCACCATCAGCTTCTTGGATTTCCACCTCTTCGAGCGCACCGACAATGCAGAAGTCTACCTGTTCAAGCTCGGCGGAGTCACCCTGTCTTTCACCTCCTCCGTGGGCAGCCTGCTCCTGACGGCCCTTGACCGCTATATCTGCATGCACAGACCCTCCGAGTACAAGACCATCCTGACCAGAAGGAGGGCCTTGGCCTGCCTCACCGCCCTTTGGATGACCACCATATTCATCGCCTTCCTCCCCCCCCTGGGCTGGAATTGTAAGACAATGGACCGTCCCTGCTCTCAGCTCTTCCCCTATGTGGACCACAGCTACTTGGCCTGTTGGATAATTCTTGTGATGTTCCTCCTGGTGCTCATCATCTATGCCTACATCCACATCCTCTGGAAGGCCCACAAGCACGTGGTCTACATGGCCAAGCACAGCATCCGCCCGGGACACGTTCGAATGAGGATGGACATCCGCCTGGCCAGGATGTTCAGCCTGATCTTGGCCATCCTGGTCACCTGCTGGTTCCCAGTTCTGGCCTTCATGATCGTCGATTTTTTCCACTGCCTGAGCAGGGAGCAGAAGAGGGCCTTTGCCTTCTGGAGCACCCTGTGTCTCGTCAACTCCAGCGTCAACCCGCTCATCTATGCCCTGCGGAGCAGGGACATGCGCCGCGTGATGCTGAAGGTCCTGAGTTGGTGCCGAGGGCAGAGAAGCTACATGGAGGGCAGCCAGGAGTCAGATATGCAGCAGAAACCCTCCAACCAAGAGACCATTTCAGAGCGGGTGGAGAAACAGATATAGACCACATTAAAGATTCTACGTGGCTTCCAAGACTGGGGTTGTGATAATCTGGTATTAATTAAGGTGATAATGGAGAAACAGTCAAAGACACGTCCCTTGTTTTTGTGTCATATGCATCTGAAAGGGAGCCATTGAGACAATACAAAGAGATCTGGCCCTGTCTGCTCGTTCTCAAATTAGGATTTTCAAAACAAGGGCAGAAGATGAAAGTCCAACCTATGACCCAGAGTTCCAGTTTGTGTTCTGCTTACCTGATTGTGATCCCATAGCTACAGCACAGGTAACAGTGGGCTCCAAAAAAGACAGTAAACCATTCAATCACATGCCATCACAGACCAAACCAGTGGCACTCGACCACCAACAGTAACATATTCACTAAGTTAATACTCCACCAATTTTCATAGAGTTAGAAGTGTTAGCACACTGTGTTTCAAGTTTGTTAAATTAACAACTTCCAGCTTCCTAGGATGAAACAGTGTTCAGAAAAGTTCGAAAAGAGAGTTGTTAAATTATTGTAATTTAACGAGCAATACTGATTACACTTAATTATTTAGTGTCTGTATTCACCTGCCTATACTTGCTATGCAAACATACAGTTTATTTTTCATTCACTGGAGGTGAATTATTTTTCTTTTCTGTTGCTTCAGTTTTCATCTTGCACACACAAAAATGCCCTGTTTGCTGTAGTATTACTGTATATTCCAGATTTTATTTTACAGATGTTCTGTGAAACTGTGTCATATGTTTTCAGTTTAAGGCAAAATCCTTCACACACAAGATGATAGTCTTGCTTCACTCTCCATCTGACCTCGTCTCCTAGTGCTTCTAGACTAAGGGCCTGATTCCTAAAGCATATTATTATGCATTAAGGAGGGCTGTATTGAATAAGATCCTTTCATGAAGGAGTTCCTGCGTGGCCTAGTGGTTAAGGCAAGTGGCATGAGCCCAAGGATTCTTAGTTTAAACCCTAGCCATACCACTGAGTTATTGTGTGTCGCTCTGACTGAATCTCCTGATGCTCAACTCTCCAGATGTGATGTAACTGAAGGTCTTGACAAAATGAACTTTCTGTATCATTTAGTTTCCATGGTAACAGCAGATCTTGTGAACTTTCTCCACCAGTTGTATGAAGAGGGACCTTTAAGGAGGCCACATTGCCAAAGACATTGTATAATGGTTAATATCACAAATTCTTCAAAACAGTTCTGTGGAATACTTGGTTTAATGTATCACCTAAAAGGATAAAACATCCTGCAGCATGAGCTAGAGTGAAGAGCACCACCTACTGGTTAACCAACACCACTTTCAGCAGCAACCTGCTTTCCCTTAGAGGTCTCTCAGGCTAGTACTGCCCAGGCCCAGCCTAGCTTAACTTCTAACAAGATAAGGCTTGCAACACTGCTGCTGATAAACAGATCACAGCACTGATTTCTCTAATTGATTCCTTATGTAACAATAGGATGACCACAGTCACAGGCTGGATGCATGCGATTGTTTAATTTCCAATAAGAAAAAACACTTAATGAAAACAACACTTCACTGATTGTTAAATGAGTTCTAGTAGATTATAGACATAACGGTTATTGACACCATTTATGGTGACTTTTTGTTTATTAAAAAAACTTCCAATGGATTACCCACTTCCTTGAGCTGTAAATATTCTTTCTCAGAGCAATAATAAAAACACTGTAGCTGGATGTAGCCACTGTTCTTGGTAAACCTAGCCAGTACAGCCTTTTCTTCAAATTATCTGTATCATTACCTATTATCATAGTATTTATAATTGAGACTGTGTATGTGTTTCTACTGCATGTTCTTCTTCTTTATGCCTGTTAAAGTTCGAGCTTCTCTCTTTGTTTCTAAGTCTAAGAGAAAGTGTGACACACACAAAGGGACATCGTCCAGACTGCCCCCTTTCTCACTAAAGGAACACAAGGTGCTTTGTTTGCTCATCTCTGTCTGAACACACTGAGCTTTCTGCCATTTGCTTTAGAGCATTTCATGAGGAATTCATTACAAAATACTGTAGGCGCATCACAGAGCCCAGACTTTCTAAAACAGTAAGCCTCTTGAGAAAGAAAACACAAACGCAGCAGGATCTGGTAGCGTGAATCTGCGTGTGTGTCAGGCAGGGTCTGATGTAGATGCTAATGAAGAAGAGTGGAGTTGTTCTGTTAGTATATAATTGTAAAGAAACTAGATAATTCAACTGGGATTGTGTGTAGTTAGGGCTCTTGATGTTACTGTTATTGTAATTACCACTAGTTGTAATATAATGCCAATGCACTGAAAAGTAATTTTAAAAATCTTATTACGTTTGCAGTAGTACTCCCATAAGTAAAATATTGTTAATATTTAAATGTTTTCTTTTCTGTAATTGTATAATGAAATACGTTAAGCTATGTTTTTGAGCTATTTCACTGAAACATAGAAATAAAGCATCCTGGTCATCTCTTAAAAGTTGTCCATTCCAATTACAGCTGACAATTTGTTCTGACTATAATCAAGATTTCTGGTATCACTTAAATGCTGCTCAGTACACTTTATTAAAGAGGTGAAGCCAGTAGAGAATAGAACTAGTCTGTTGGTCATTAAGACTGACTCCACATCTCTCTGAAACATTCATAGAGTAGTCTGTCCTTTATGTTGCCAGAGTGGCACATGGTATCTGTCAAGGGAGACAATGGGAATGCTGTTCTTCAGGCCCTTCTTGAGTGGCAGAAGGAGCTCATCCTGGAGAGATGTGATCTGCTTCTCACAGTAGTGAAATCTGCATTGAGATGTTCCTGAGAAGTCAGAGGAGCCAACTCTCGCTGTGTGTTTGTATGCATTCCTGGTGACACCTCCAAGAGACTTCCAGTCTTCAGCCTTGATACCAACAGCTTCCATTTCTTACAGCAGAAATCTTTGCAAGTTTGAGGCAGCCTATGTGACAGATACACAACACCCAACCTAATAGGGAACAGTCACAAATACTGCAGTACTGCATCATGCACAGCGTACTGAAGATGCTTGACGTTTTTATCAGGGAAACACTGGACATAACAGTACTCTGCTGTTGCTTATGAACATCGACAGGCTGAAGATTAGAGATGGCCATTCAACTGTTGTGCTCATCTGATGGCTGGTTGTTATTTATTTAAGCCATTTTTTGATGGTTTCCAAGGCACTGGCTCCTACAAAATGGCTGGCATTCTGTTCCATGGAAGTCGCCACTCAACACAACTTATTTTGATGGAGGTGTCAGCAGAGGGCATTCAGAGACACCCTTGTGTGCCACACAGTCAGTCAGGACCACTTTCAGATGGTAAAAGCTGACACAGGTGATCAGCAGGACTAGAAGGATCAATAACACTGAACCAGCCTTGCTAAGAGACCAATCACTATACAGCCTGGCAGGAGATGGCAAATCCCAGCTTCATGTACTGACTAGACAATGTTCTCTAGGTGATTTTCATGATGTTAAGATGTATTACAGACAGAGAACAGCACACTCTCAATAACAGCTGATAAAACTGAGTTATAATATCCTGGATCACAACAACAGCTGAGGAAGAACATACACTATTGTCCTTTTTATACAATAACCTTAGTTTTAACTTCCACTTCACAATGTGGGACATGATTGTACCAAGAAACCTGTACTCATCAGACATCCCTACAGACCCTTTGTGACCAGCTGTGCTGCAGAAGCTCTTTTTCCTTCTGCTGTCAATGATGATTTCTTTTATCTGCTCAACATTAAGTTCCACAGTGTTTTCTGAACACCAATGTGCCCGGGTGTTCAACCTCAGCACAGTATTCAAGTTCATTAGCACTCATAACCAATCTCCCTCCAACAGTATCAGGAGCTAATGTTAATGTCTGTCCAGAGCCATGAATAGACACGGAGGTATTTGTGAACAGAGAGAATAACAGTGGAGGAACTACCCAGCCTTGAGAGGCACCAGTGTTTAGTGTAATAGGTTTTTATGATTTTTTTACAGAATTGGTGTGATCCAAAAGGAAATCAAGTATCCAGCACATTTTAACAACAGAACACTGTCTGTGAACCTTAACTATTAAAAATATCTATAATAACTGCAGCAGGTTGATCCCCACCACACTTCAGACAGGAAGTTACTGGGCCAGGTGCTTCCTCAGTCTTTATTTCCTATAACCTTTCTTGCAGGCTGTTAGGGAACTCTGTGGGGAGATAATATCAAAGGTGCAGTGATACTCAGGTGCTGTAAATCAGTCACCCCATCACTGGGGGAGGGAGGAGTCTGTGGGGTGGCTGATGTGGATAGTCGATGAGACACTGTGTGCCCTGTCACTGGCACCCAGTGCCATTGGCTACAAATCCTGGTTACAATTTCTGGCTTTAGGAAAGTCAGATTTTGCCCTTTTATAAGATGTCATGTTAATACGGAAAGCATCCCCCTTAATTGTAATATTTAATTTCAGTATGTCTGGAGTCAGTTGAGTTTACTACGGGTGCGCCGGTTTCCTCCCACAGTCCAAAGACATACTGGTAGGTTAATTGGCTTCTGGAATAAGAGTATCTACATTTTTGTGTCCATGTGTGCCCTGTGATGGACGGGCGTCCTGTCCAAGGCGTATCCCACCTTGCGCCTATTCCTCCTGGGATAGGCCCTAGCTCCCCAGTGACCCTGTATTGGATAAAGCGCATTAAAAAAATGGATGGGTGGAAAAATGGTCATGGCCTCTGAAGTGAATACAAGCAGTGCCAGTGCGTTATGCAACATTATTACGACTAAACATTAAACATGCTCTAATCATGTGCTGACCAGGGTTTTGTGTTGCTAATGGCAGGCATTTCACCTGATTTGTCATGGTTTCTGATGAATCATATGCACTCCAAGATGCCTTTCCACTCTTTCACTGGGAGCTCACTTCACTATGAGCTGCTATCATATCTGCAATAAACATTTAGAAGAGACGGAGACTTAGCAGCCAGACCACAGGAGCATTTCCAGTAATGATTTTGCAGGGAAATTTTCCTGGACAACAGATTCATTTCCAAAGAGCCAGCTTTTCAGCCTTTGACACAGATAGTATTAACCACTTGCCTGTGTCAAGCAACTCACATCTCCAGCTGTTCGTGAGTAAGTCTACAGATTACAACAGATCACATGGATTTCAGAGCCTATGTTACAGATGTTTTCTAGCACGCCACTAACTTCATGAGAGTCCTAAGACTCTTCATCTCAATGGAATAGTGTAGCCAGCATTGCTGTGCACTCACTGACTCACTGAGACTGGGCAATTAAGCCATTCCAAGATCTCTGCAATTCCACAGCGCTGATGGATTGAACTGCTGAGAGCCGGAAGACATTCTCCACGTGCCTCGTTCTGCACATTTGCCTGGTTTCCCCGAGCTCGGATCGCTAGGAAACCATGTTGCCAACCTCGGGCGAGCTGAGCTCTAAAAACAAACTGTGCCCGCCTCGGGAATTCTCAGCTGCGGTTTCACACACCCCAGGGGCTGCTGGACGTGGCCCCTGAGCGCACACGCCCAGAATACCACCGGAAAAAACGGCAGAGCAGACAAGAACATTACTGTGTCCCTGAGAAAAAACCTCTGCCATTTCTGTAGGCCTTTCTTCATCATTATAAAGTAAGAGTGCTTGAGAAATTAGCCTTTTCGACT